CATGCGGAAAAACATTCTACCGACAACCTTGTCAAACAGCTTCTTACAGCTCTTCCAAGGCCGTAAGACCCCCGAAGATTCCCTCAGGCAGCGTGGTGAACTCGTTGTAGGACAGGGACCTTCAGGGTTCGAGGGAAGGCCACGAGCGCAGCAGATAACACACATGAGCTAGGAATCAGGGCTTGCTGCCGCACATGCTGATCTACGAAGCGCGGCCAGCCCACCAGCATGTACGGAAGTCCTTCAGTACAGTGGCGCTAGCAACGCCGCGGAAGCCGCGATGGCCTGGGTACAATCACAACAATCATGCCTGCTTCCGGCTACAGCGAAGGCGACGAGTTGGCAGTTGGAATCCGTCCCAGGGTTAGATTGAGTACACCGTGAACCGGACAAGAGGCTAGGATATGAGGCTAACAGAACACCATCACGTAGAGGCACTACGGCGAATGCCAGGAATCGACGGCTGATCCCGATACGTAGCACGATCCTTGGTGCTCACGTTTCCAGCAACGGGCTGGAGGTGAATTCAGACACCCCCGACCTATTCTACACCGAACTTCCTACCAACTGCTTGCCGCCGCGCTAGTCGGGGTTGAATGGGTCATGGGGACGATTTGTCTGCGATATCCTAGCTCTCCATCGCGAGCTAGCCCCATGCGGAAAAACATTCTACCGACAACCTTGTCCAACAGCTACTTACAGCTCTTCAAAGGCCGTAAGACCCCCGAAGATTCCCTCAGGCAGCGTGGTGAGCTCGTTGTAGTACAGGTACCTTCGGGTGTCGAGGGAAGGCCACGAGCGGAGCAAATAACACACATGAGCCGGGATTCAGTGCTTGCTGCCGCACATGCTGATCGCGATGGCCTGGGTACAATCACAACAATCATGCCTGCTTCCGGCTACAGCGAAGGCGACGAGTTGGCAGTTGGAATCCGTCCCAGGGTTAGATTGAGTACACCGTGAACCGGACAAGAGGCTAGGATATGAGGCTAACAGAACACCATCACGTAGAGGCACTACGGCGAATGCCAGGAATTGACGGCTGATCCCGATACGTCGCACGATTCTTGGAGCTTACGTTTCCAGCAACGGGCTGGAGGTGGTTTCATACACCCCCGACCTATTCCACACCGAACTTGTTACCAACTGCTTGCCGCCGCGCTAGTCGGCGTTGAATGGGTTACGGGCACGACTGGTGTCTTTGGTTGTTGCTTAGGTGACAATTATGTACCTTATCGCTCGGCTGTACGCTCGCCTCGAGTATCAGCACAGCACTTTGAAAAGGCCGCTTCTAACAACAAAAACAACCGGCCAATACCCATCCCCATGGCATAGGGACGCACTCACAGATATGTGATTGCTTCAGGCCCGGCATCTTCCAAGCACGACGCCAGATCGTCAAAATCGGCATCTGTTATGCCGCAGGAATACAGGTCCCTGGGGGAAGATTGCGGACACCAACAAACGTATGAAGTCTTGCTCTGTTGGTCGTGCGGCAGTGTTTTTTGAAGGAAGCGCGTGAAAATGCGTGAATAAATTACTCAACAAATGCTCTGATCTCAACAATACTGCCCAATGTTAAAACGTTTCCCGGCCAACGGGTACCGGAGATCTTGGAGCGACCATTATTCAGGGAATTGCAGAATTCCATCCTACAAGGTAACTCAATCTTTCGGCAACGGATGCCTCGCCAGCCACCAAACACGTTTGGGGTCTTGCATAGCAAAAACAAATAATTCGGTGCGGGCTTACAGTTGTCCATCAGCATCAATTTCACATCTGTCGGCGTCCGTCGTGTCCAGACATACATTAACTGAAACCAACGGCGTACGCAGGACAGACGGCAAATGAGAGGGGATGGGTTGGCGGGTGGTGAGATTGACATGAAACTGTCAGCAGCTGCATCCGAAATAAATATTGCGGAGTCGACCAGGGCACGGCACTGCCATGTTTCGCGATAGAGAACGAGATACCGGAGTACGAGCGAAACAAAAAAGCGAGCTCGACAAACTGGTATCGACGCCAATGGCTCTTCGCATACGAAATGACGGGGGAACCGGCAACGTATCCCATCGACTACTGCAAGGACATACAGCATCGCACGATTCGACAAATCTTGTTGCGTGATATCGACCCCTCCAAAACAGGAGCAAATATCGCAGCAGGCAATGTCTTCGAAAACGACCCAACACGCCAGCGGCACCAGCCTTGGCCTACGAAGTAGACCTCCATCTTCCGAAGAAAATTGATCACTCTGGTCAACAAATTCTTCATGAGGTACTGTAAGGAGATGGGGAGCCGCTCACGATTGTGGCTTTGCAATCACCAACTTCACCGGGGAAATCGGCTACTCACTACTCGAAGAGGTGAATAAACGTGATGTGATCACACCTCGTCCTGCGGTGAATCCCGTGTTTCGCAAGCGAATGAATCCCCCCCTGATCAGTGTCTACCTGCCGGTCTACTAGGCAAATGGTGACAGCACTTACATGCCAGCGGTTGGATCAACATACTGGTCTGCCCCAATGTTGCTCAAACGAACCCATCCACCCACCTGCGGAGATATCCAACAACGTGAAGAGCACAAGCAGAATGATCGAAGTCATCTCCAGCAATCTCCTGCGCCGCGTCCAGAATAATGGCAGAAATGATGAGTTGCACGTTACGGGAAAGGACGGCGTGGACGGATTGTGTAAGGCGTCTTTGGCGTTGTACTTAGTCGCCGGCCACAGCGATTACAAAAACAGCATTGGAAACTCCAGCGGGGGGGTGGATGCACCAACTAGTCGAAGATCCGTTCGAATTTATACTGGACACGTCCTCGATTTTGTATAAAAATACGTTGCGGACAGCCGCGCGCGCGCATGCGTGTGTTTTGGGCCTGGATGAAGCGTGTCTCGCACAGCATCACAGACCGAAAATACTGCAACGTTCCGAGTCGTTACCCGTGGCTCATTTACCCCGCCCTACTACATCAGTATTGGGTTTGCTGAAGAATAATTGGTTTTCTTCACGGTTGTCAGCGGCCCCCTTCGGACAACCCATGTTTTGGTTGACATACACCGATAGAAAACTTCTTGTTTGCTCCACCCCGCAGATCTCCAACCACAAAGCCTCAAGCGATCTCGAACCAACTGCATCCTGCAGGTACGGGCTACAGCTATTATCAATCGTATCTACTTACAGCTAAATAGGACCATGGTTTCAGAGATCTGCTGGTGTACCTACCTGGTCTACAGCACCTTCATTACCTCAGTTACACATGATTTGTACTTCTACCTTCACAGGAACGCATCGTGGTGTAGCTTTACAACTTGATTGTACTGTTGCGGTTGATCAACGCCATTAACTGCATGTCGAAATCGAGGCGGATGAACCATCTGTTCTGTGTCTTGGATGACGCATCTAACCCCTGTCGGCTCGTTGACGACATATTGAGAGCATCCACAGTGATGGCAGAGCGTCAGCAGTTAGGGATGTTTTTATTAACGTGTAGAGAAAGAGGTGGTGCGGATATCTCAACCGATATGTGTTAATAAATAATTCCCACCTGAAATATCGTTGTCAGCAGGAAGGGATTCTCGTTAGCCAATCGAAAAGTAGAAGGCACGACTGCAGCCGTACAGATAGAAGGACATGCTTTCGGGCTGATGGTGGAGGCGATGGCAGGAATACCAGCCGGACGCACCCCAATGATTTCCGTCGTATCCCCACCGCCCCCCTCCCCCCCCCTGGTGTTTGCCATCGGGGTTGGGTATTCGTCGCCTGGCAACAACGTTGCAAACAAGCCAATTCACTTGGTGAACTCGGCAACCAGGTTACCGTTTCTTTCGTCGGCGGTAACCATAATGGTGGTCGAGTAGATAATGTCGTGCGGGGTGGTCAACCCTCACTCCGCGCAAGGGGGATGATCGCACCACGTTGTGTTAAAATGGTCAGCACCCTCCAGGCAGTTTCACCGTGCTTACAACTGTCTCAGGAAGTGAAAGCACCAGNACCTGAAATATCGTTGTCAGCAGGAAGGGATTCTCGTTAGCCAATCGAAAAGTAGAAGGCACGACTGCAGCCGTACAGATAGAAGGACATGCTTTCGGGCTGATGGTGGAGGCGATGGCAGGAATACCAGCCGGACGCACCCCAATGATTTCCGTCGTATCCCCACCGCCCCCCTCCCCCCCCCTGGTGTTTGCCATCGGGGTTGGGTATTCGTCGCCTGGCAACAACGTTGCAAACAAGCCAATTCACTTGGTGAACTCGGCAACCAGGTTACCGTTTCTTTCGTCGGCGGTAACCATAATGGTGGTCGAGTAGATAATGTCGTGCGGGGTGGTCAACTCTCACTCCGCGCAAGGGGGATGATCGCACCACGTTGTGTTAAAATGGTCAAGCACCCTCGAGGCAGTTACACATTGCTTACAACTGTCTCTGGAAGTGAAAGCACCAGAAAATAAATTAATTCATACGCAGCTGTCATCCGTACGCAAGGAAGTAAGCACAAGATGCCAAGCACCCTTAACAGGATGCAGCGCGCCCTTCATGCGACTCGTCGAATATCTCACGGCGCTTCGCGCTTGGTGATGTGAGAGCCTGGTCCGGTGAGAACCCGGCGTGCTCCGTCCCGG